GCCGCCGCCCGCCTCACCGCCTCAGGCAGCGGCTCCCTCAGCGCCGCGGGCTCGGCCCCGGGGCACGCCGCCGCCGCCGCCGCCCGCCTCACGGCCCCCCCCGTCCTCAGCGGCGGAGCGGGCACCGCCACCGGTCCGCCAGAGCCCCCGTCGCGTTCGCCAGCTCTGCGGAGGCAACAACGGCTCCGCCTCAGCGCCGGCTCCCGCCTCCATCGACAGCAACCGCCGCGTTCCCTCCGCACCGCCGCCGGCAGGGGATGGGACGGGACCGGGGCGGGCCCCTCCCGCCCTGGGCGGCCCCCGCCCGCTGCACGTGACCGGCTGCCGGGGGAGGGCGGGAACGGCGCCTCCTCCCGCCGCTACCCGCCCCGGCCCGGCCCGTCTCCCCCCCCCCCAGCCCTCCCGGCCGGGTTTGCCGCCGGGAAAGCGCTTCGGTCAGGGCGCTGTCCCCTGACAGACCGCTGTCTGCCTCCGGCAGCAAAGAGGGCACCGTCTCCCGCCCCGGCAGCGTCCGCCGCCTCAGGAACTAGGATTTTTTTTTTAGGTGGTCGGGGGTCGATGGAAGACGTGACGGGAAGTCTGTGGTAAAAAGTGTCGGTTCTTCACCTGAACTGACGAGAGCAGATCCCCGACGTCGTTTACGATTAAAAAAAAATATCCCTCACGCGGAGTTGCGGCTTTTTTACCTCACGGCAGCTGTAAACTCGGTACCCTCGGCTGAGCATACCTCTGAGCCAGTCACTGCCTCAGGGGGAGCTGCAGAACAACACTGCGGCCCTGTGGGGGTTGGGTTTAGGACTTACGCAGAAAATAAGAGCCAGGACAGAAATCATTGCTTCCTGGTTGTATTCAGTTACTCAAATGATCATTTACACCTCTAGTCGCAGAAAGTACTTAATTTGTATTTAGTCACCTAGGCACCCCAGAAGCAACTGTGGACTTAGCTTATGCTACTTTGACTGTTAGAAGATGCTTCACTTTTGCTACTCTCCCCCTTTACTTCGTGGTCCCCTTCGTACACACTTTCACCCTTCAATTTCATGAAGCTGCAATTTCAAAAGGGTCGATGTCAGCATAATTTGACAACTCCACCCTCTTTTCTGCCACAGACTGGGAGCTATGGCAGCCTAACGATAAACAGGAAGGTGTATCAATCCCTCCTTTTGGTATTCCAACCTGAGCAGTAAAAGTAGGTCCATCCTCTACTCTTTAATTAGCGATGGGGTAGTTTTTGCCTTCAGCTGCAGAACTGATGGGTCAAAAAAATCACAGTTTTACACTGACTTCTGTGTAAGTCAGGGTACGATCCAGCCTTTTTGGAGAGCTTAAGATAAAAAGGAAAACTCCATGACATCACCCTTACCATAATAGTCATTGCTAGTAAAAAGTGAACAGCAGCAGTTACATGTTAGTTCCCATTCCCAGCAGACAGCAAAGCACTGATAAAATGGGGGTTAGTGTTGATAACAGTTGAACTAGAGGCATCAGGTGGAACAGGTACAGTGAAAATTTCAGGATAGTAAAAGGAAAGCAGCGGTGGGCTGCTACAATCTGTATTAAGCACTAGCAGGTAAGAAATAAAATGCAATTTGCACACATGCCATAACTGCCATTGCTAAGAAACACAAGTGTCCTTTCGCTAAGTGTCTGAAATCTTCAGGGTAACCACAGTAACAGGGAACGCACATCAACTTGTATTATTTTTGCTATTATTTTTTATTTGAACGAAAGCAAATGTTTCCTTTTTTCCTCTTCTGTGATTGTCAGGAAAGAGAATCAATAACTTTGGGAAGAAAAAAAAAATTAAGAAGCCTTCAAATATACAACAGATTCCTGAACTTCTGTTCAAAATTCATCCACTCCCTCTGGCTGGAAAGGGGAAGTGGAAGGACCCAACTGATAGTAAAGGAAGGCGAATCTCAGCTAGGGTTTTACGTCAGACAAACATTCTTAGTACCAGCAACATCCACTAAGGTAAGTTAGCTATGTATTTAAACGAATACTATATAATAAACCCACCAAGAACAATGCAGCATCTTCAACCCCAAGTGAATCAACTCTGTCTTTGTGGATTGTGGAAAACAAAGGTGGAGAACATGCCCTTTCGCAGACATTTTCCATTAGCACAATGTACGATCATTTTAACAAAAGTCTAGCTTGGCCTAAGCTCCCCTGCTGTTGCAGTTATAGCATTGTTTGCCCAGAATCTCAGAAATGCATTTCTTGTTTCCCCTATTAAAAGTGCACCTTTCAAATCAAATTAAGAAAAAGCAATAGAAATGGCCAAACATTAAATGAACAAGCAGAAAAGGGACTCAAGTGAAGGAACAAGCCTATCCTTGTACCTTTTTTATTGTTCGACAGCACTGGACACATTTAAAAGATCAGTGAAGTTAAAATAACTTTTTGCAAACAGTAGGTGGAAGGTGGGTAACAAACTAATTGAGCTCAAAGGAAGCTGGCTTTATACTTCATTCTGCAATACTCACTCCATTCCCAGATGTTTTACACCCAGCGAGCTTGATTCCAACAGTAAAGGGATTACGTGGGCAAGTCCAACCACTCACTGATGGCATGGTCAGTGATAACGGATCACAGCTCCTGGACAGGCAGCAGCAGAGCATATAGAAATGACAACAGTGGCATGGGTACCAAACTCGTGTCCTCTCTATTCAAGATACCATGCACCATAAAACATTTTTTATTTCAGGTACGCCAAGTTACCCTTACACATCAAAAATGCCAGGAGGGAAAAGACACCATGAGAACTTTATTCAAAATCCTTAAAATACAGCTGAGGATCTTGGAGAGCAATAACAATCAAGACAATCCCTGAACATCCTGATGAAGTAGGTATTATTCCTCTCTGAGAAAATTAAGTCAGAGATTTTAAAGTTAATTGCCACAAGTTACACAGCAAGTAGATGCAAAAACAAGAAGCTGAACTCTAATTTGGATCCAGCTAACAAGGAGACTACCCATCTGCTTCAAGTTAGACATGCTTCCAATATCTGCTGAATTAGACCTTACGTGGCCATTCAAAACACTGGACCAGTCTACATAGCCAATGCTAGATAAATAAAAACATTTAAAATAAGAACCGAGTCGATTAGCATTATAAAATTACAAGTTTATTGCAAAGTAAAATGAGTTTTTCCTCTCAATAGCACATGCCAGAACTGTTAAAATTTTATACTTTCAGCTGAATGTTACTCAAAAATCATATCCAAATTACTAGAACCAAACTTAATATTTGTATGTGTATTCACTTTCACAAAAGACTACCCTGCATTTATTTATGATTGATGGGCTTATCCAAATATTTGCAATTAAAGGCAATTAACTCCAGTAGTTGAAGAAACTTCTTAATAAATGATTCCTTAGCCAAACTATGGTTTAAGTATATTGGGAACAAAATTGAGTCAATTAAAAAAAAAAAAAAAAAAAAAGGACCTGATTACAAATACCATTTACAATGGTCATCTCAACAATTGTTTGGGTCATCTCTGCTCATCATCACAGTATACTCCAGTTTTGAACATTCTGCTTAGCAAATTAATTACCGCAGTTAAACAAGACAGCAGATCAGTCCACATCTTCAACTACAGAAATTTCTTCCTTTTTTTCTAGCTTGGATACCTGCAAGTTAAAAGGAAACTGATTCAATAGTAAAAAATAAGTTTGCGTTTAAACTCTCCTGTCTTTTCAGGCTTCCATCACAAAACAGTGTAGAGCCCAGATTTACCAGGAACTGACAGTGGGATACACTGCAGGGGACAACTGAGCCGAACAGGGTGTTCAGTTGCAGTCAAAAGAGAAGGTCAAACTTTCTTCCCACCCACTCCCTTAACCTCCCCTCAGCTGCATGCTCCCATCAGTTCCTAGTTTTTTGTCAGCTTGGTGACTTCATTTGGCTGACCAAGGAGCGAGACAAGCACCAAAGCCATCCGAGAAGCCAGGAGAGACAGGAAGGGAGGCAAGATTGCCCCTTTCACTGACAGCTGTCAGATCAGAGCAGGCCATAACCTGGAACCCTGCCTGTAACAGAGAGCCTAGAATAATTAGAATGAACATAGAAAATGCTTTTCATGTACACATACACAATTTTATAAAACTGACCTTCACTGATCTTAAAACTTAAGAAAAAGGAATTACCTTAATTAAGCTAAGCTGTTGTTAAGACTAACAATATAAATAGTTTCAGAAAGAATTCTACAAATTCATGGAGGATAGACCAAAAGCACAAAGTAAACACGATGTTCTGCACGTTATCTCTAACTCTGGAAAATTCAGTTCTACATTCCCCAAATCTATGGGCATATAAAAGGAGGGTCGTATTATAAATTCCCTGTTCTTATGTTCTTGCTTCAACATCTGCTACGGGTCATGAAAGTGATGCACAAAGATACTAAGGTTGATAAATCTTTCATTTTGACCTAACGCAGCTAATGTTGTGGTATGACCAGTAAGCACTGGAAAAAGCAGAAGACAGGCTGCAGATACGTAATCCTTGGGGGTAGATGTGCCAGCTTTCTTCTGAGCTGTGTCACAGTTCCTTCAAATTATGCCAACTATTAAAACCCCACCGAACATTTTGGCACCTAGAAATTGTTAAAGTGCGTGCTCTGAGCACACATCCTTTACCTCAGGCATAACTCAAAGGCAGAAGCTACAGGCAGTGGTACTGGAGTTCCTAGGGTTGCTCTAAACCACTAGAAATTTCATCAGCCAGGTGGAACCTTCAGCTAGGTAGAGCTGAATGACATTAAGACTCCAAGGGCAAATCCGGCAATTCACAGCAAATGCTATGATCTCAACTTCCTCTTACCCCTGTTCCTTCTGCAGCAAATACAGAGGGAATTTCGCACTCAAACAGTGGATTACTAAATTGGCTTGACTACACTACAAACATGCAAAGTAGAAAAGTACTTTCCACAAATCCAACAGATTTCTCTATCATTAGCACTTCAAACCATTTCCCTTCACCAGTGAGATCAAGCTGTAACATGACTCTTCTACAGGAAAACCTGGCATTACCTAACTAAAGGTGTTTTTTATGTCATTTAGAGTTTATGCCTTATTTTCACAGTCCTGTTACTACGCCAGAAAAAACTTAAGTGCTGATGAAGTCTCAGGAGCATAATTATCAGTGAGACATTGTCCTAGAGAGTGATTGTCTTGGGAATTACAATTGTGCTGAATATGCACAATAA